GCCAACAATTCACTAAAAATGTTTTTTTTATTGGTCTTATGAAGTATTCTAATTTGTTGAGATAGTGAATTGGTGGGTTTTTGTTAAATGTGAGCCAAAATCATCACAATTAAAAGAACCAAAGACTTAAACTACTTCAGTCTGTGTGCATTGAATTTATTTATTATTTATTTGAGTTGAATTACTGAAATAAATGAACTTTTCCATGACATTCTAATTTATTGAGATGCACCTGTATATACACACACACACACACACACACACACACACACACACACATTTTTCAAAATGTTTTTGCATTTGTGTGTGTGACAGATAAATACTGCTAATTTGATAAATATCTAATTTAAATGATACTCCCCCACATAAGCTACATTTTCTTAAAAACTTGTAGTGACACCAGGGGCTATTCCAGGATTTTCATTTAAGGGGGATTTAACATCGTTTTATAAAGTATATGCATTCATATGTGCTTCCTTTTCACTGGAGGAAACCTGTGGTGTGATGAAGGGTGAACGCAGCGAAACCTTAGGCTACAGTAGATGGGGAACTGATCGCTCCCCAATGATATTTTGTAAACTGTATTTATGACAAATAACTGCACAGATGCAGATATTATAACAATCTATCGATAAACACACACCTTTTCCTCTGTTTCTCGCTCTGCCCTGCCACGGCCTGCAGATTGAAAAAGAACGTGCTGAAATGGGGAGGAGCCGATCGAAGTCTGCCGCCGTTTTCATATTAAATTTAAAGGGGACTGAGGCAATCACGAATTCGTGTAGTTTATGGAACTAATCGCAAAATTTTAGGGGGGCTGAGTAGCTATAGCCCCCCTAAAAATGGCCTAGCGACGCCCATGAGTGACACTAACTTGTGCAGTCGTGTTACATTAAATTCTTAATATCAATAGTAACGTCTCTTTCTATGTCCGTAGGTACGCTCAGCCGTTCGTAAGCGCTGGCACCGCTGGCAGGATAAGCACTCCATTCGGGCACGGGTGGCACGGGCCATGTCTATACCCACCTCTCCAACACGGGTCAGTTTCCACAGCATCAAGCAGTCGTCGGCCGTCTGACCAGAACAGAAGTGAACCATCAGTCCCCGTTTCTTCTGCTCCCGCTCTTTCCGTCCTCAGCTAACCATCCACATCCTCTGCAAAACCCAGGGATAACAGCTATGGGCCAAACAGGGTATGATCCTCAGCTGAAACATAGATGAAGGGTGGAAATGTACAGATATAATGAGGTCCACCTGCCAAACACAGAGGGGAAAAAACTGCTTCAGAATCAGATTAGAGCATCGGTGGTCTCAGACAGCAATGGGAGACCGTGGGAGGAACCTGACACAAACACAAAAAAGGTTGATAAATACTGGCAGAGTGTATTTATTCAATAGACAGAGTTATATGTCGCATCCTGTTCTCGAGTCTTCTCTCATTAGAGAGCTCAGATTATTCCTAACTATCAGAGTAAAATACTATATAATATACACTACATGGCCAAAAGTATTGCGATTGTTAGCCATACATGTGTCTGAATGGGATCAAATCCATATTCCAACATCTACTGGAAACCTTCCCAAAAGAGTGGAAGCTGTTAGGGAGGATAAACTCTTTATTAATGCCAATAGTTTTGGAATTAATTGCTCAGAAATCACATTTTTGTGCGTCCACAAACTTTTGGCCATGTAGTGCAATAGTTTTAGGAGTTTTCAAACAAAATGACATAATCATAAAAAAAATTGGATCTTCATTCCAATCCAATCTTTGACAGATCTCAATGTGAACTTTCATTATTGTTATTGAATCTTTTGACTGGATACATTGGGGACAAATGTGTGGCGTTTTCTCAGAGATGTTCAGATTGTGACCCTTATATTTTTTTCTTACTCTTCACTCGCTGCTCTTCATTGCCCACATTGTTGCAGCTAGTAATAGTTTCTGTGAGCAAACTCATTCAACGTGGACACTTTTCGCTTTGATATGATGAGTACATCTGTTGCTGTGTATATCATGCAGTGCGAAAATTGTAAACAGTTTTTACAAAGATGAAAGGTACGTGTTAATGCTCTCTAAGCCTGTTTGCATCCTGGGACTCAAGGATCTATCTAAACCCCGGGGAAAAAGAGGAAGGATGCTCACAGGAAAGGGAACAACATCATGAAAGACTCTCATGCCTGCTAAGGTAGAAGACAGTAGACTCCGATGCTAATCACATAACACAGTCTTTTAAATAATGGGTTTATCACAGAACAAAGAAAGGATTTTGATTTTATCCTGCATTTGGAGCCTCAGCCAAGCGGGCGATTGAATGTATTTCAATTAACCACTCCAGCTCTCCTTTTCATATAAGTTCCCAGTTATCAAGCGGTTTTACGAGATGATCATAGTACAAAATACTTGAGAAGTTGGATTCTGGAGACTCTTTCAAAAAAGACTAATTCTAATCACACGTGACTGGAAGTTGTTGGTGGTTTTGTTGCCCAAGAGCCTTAGGGATAGTTCACCCAAAAATGACAATTCTGTCATCGATTACTCAGCCTCATGTTTATCTAAAACCATATGACTGTATTTCTTCCAGCAAACACAAAAGGAGAAATTTTGAAGAATGTACACCACCGTTCAAAAGTTTGGGGTCAGTAAGATTTTTTTTTTTTTTAAGAAACCATACTTTGATGCAGCAAGGATGTATTGAATTCAGACTCCTTTAAGCTATTCATTTGAGAACTGCAACAAATCAGATCAATGAATAAATGAGTTGAACTGAATCAGTTTGATTTGTGAACAAGTCTTTCATTCACAGACTGGTTTTGTGAACTTGGTCAGCTGATTCACTGAAAAGATTTGACTCAAAAATGATCTGTTCACAAAAGTTCTGATCTGTTCACAGTTTGTGTTTCATGGTAGAAAGAAATGGGTTCAGAACATCATGAGGGTGAGTAAATGATGACAGTTTTCATTTTGGGTGAACCATCCTATTTTAAAATGTCAGTTATTTATATGAAACGAGGTGCATTTCTACTGGTGTGGGCAGAAATTTATGGACAGCAGGGAAGTCACCGTGTCATTTGTGGACCATATTTTTTCCTAGTTTCTCTGGACAGATGTTCTGTGCGGAAGTACATTTGAAAAAATAGATGAATAGTGCACTTTGGTGATTTCTAGGACCAGCTTCTTCAATTCAAATCCCAACAGAATCAGGCCAGAAGAATCACCTCAGCAAAATCTGCTCCTATATCATTAGAGTCAAGAGAGATCTGCATGCACCACATAGGGTCATTTAACATCCATCCATATGTTATAACCCTCGCCAAGCTGAGCCGCCAATGACCGAGTCCTGTGACCGCTCACTGCTGACTCAGCACAGTAAAGCAGATTTAGCTTTTGTGCTCATACATCCAATCAATCACATCTGATAGGGAGAGCAAGGTTGTTTAAAAAAAAAAACTGACTCAGGACCTTCATCTATGCCTCTGTGCTCTTCTGACCTTCCTGAAGTACTTGTGCAAGAATCCTGTGTAAAGGCTTCAGCAGATTCCACATTCAGTCATGCTTGTTGTGTACGTGTCTAGTAGCACCATATATACGAGTTAGACATCTAGTTGTGTACATATAGGATGACTAGCATTGTGAAGTTTGCTAATTACCATATAGCAGTGTGTGTACCTGACAAACTGAGGACCAAGCTTGTGTCACTGCTGCTAGTAAACTGAAACGTTTTAGTGTCGCTACTAAGTTTAGGACTAAGGCTTTGTTCGTTTTTTTCATCTATTTTTACATTTCATTTTGCAGTGAAAACTGATCCATATGTTCTGACAGTGTAGTAAACATCCGGATGCCAGCAACTGAGAGCTGGAAAGAGAGGACAGAAGGTAGATTTTTTTTGTCATGACATCTCTCCACTCTGCTGAACTTACAAGATACATGAGAAAACATTGGTGATTTTAGTTATTCATGCATATTTTGTGTACAAAACCACCTTTTTGTTCACTGTTGAGGAAACAAAAGTGAGGGAGTATATTCTGACACAGTTCCAAACAATACTGAGCACTTTGTATATTATTATTCAAAAGTTTGTGGTCAGTAAGATATTATTTTAATGAACACTTGTATTCAGCAAGGATGCGTTAAAATGATATTTTTAAATGACATTTTACATTGTTAATAAAAAATGCTGTTCTTTTGAACTTCCTATTCCTCAAAGAATCCTGAAAAAGCAGTACAACTGTTAACTGTTAACATTGATAATGTTAAGAAATTATTTCACAATATTACTGTTTTTAACATATTTCATAAACATTAAAAATAATCTCACTGACCTCAAATTTTGAATAGTAGTTTTTACATATTGTAGCAACCCAAATAATGATTAAAATATCTAAAATCTGAGATTTAAATGATTTCAGACCACATATGGATGTTGTCTTTGTCTGTGGTTACTTATTATATAAAGCCTATAAAATGGCCTGTCAAAGTTTATCTCAAATTGCAACGGCAAAGGAAGATCAAATTACAAACATGAAACAAATCATCCCATTGATTTACTGGCAAGCCACTAAATTTTCAAACAAGTCTCTCTCACAGCACAATATACCAGTCGACAAAAATATATCAGGAAATAATGTACAGTCAGCCGGTCATTAAGGGGTTTATTTTGAGATAATGACCATCTGCCTGTACATTATTCCACTTATTAGACCGCTGCTTATCATTTAAATGCATAAATGGATATGCAATATTGATTTTATTTGAAATTATTTTATTATGTCAGAAGAAAGAGTCTGTGGAGGTTTTCAGGGACAATGGTTAAACGTGCAGTTTAGTGGTCAGTCTGACTGCAATTGACCAATCAGATTAATGTATACCAGAAAACCGTGTAATGAAAATAGAGAAACTAAGAATAGCTGGATGCTGAATAGCAAAACTCCTCAGACAGTGATGGATGTGATGTGGACAGAAATGAGAGAAGCATAGGTTACTATTTATGTCGAACAGATCTGTTTGCTGGTGCGTGTGGAATCGTGTCACCTGAGAGATCTGATTTAGCTTCATGGGCCTGAAGACTTTCACAGCACTGCTCAGACACACTCTATCAGTCTTTGCCTCACTATTTATAGCACTTTAATAGTAAACAGCTCAAATGTTCACTTCGTATATAAACCTGTGGGGCTACTAGCAAAAAGGCCGTTTAGAGACAAAGGTACAGTCTATACAACATTAAATAATATTGCAATATATTATCCTCCTGAAGAGCTAAATTAGTGACATATCTAGTGAATTAGGTGTTAGTTAGAAACATATTCTAGTGCTTACAGTGTCTAACCATACCTAAACCTTTCATATATCACATAAAACATAATCATTTATCAATCAGTTCTGGAAAGTAGCGTCATGATTTTACTACATTCATTGGCATTAGATGCAAATTCACTCTTAAAAATAAAGATTCCTTATTGGCATCTATGGTTCCATGAGCAACCTTTAACTTCCACGGAACCTTTCCATTTCACAAAAGGTTCTTTATAATGGAAGTGTTCACCAGATTATTCAAATGTTCATCACATTAAGAAAAAAAGGGTTATTTTAAGAACTGTTCACTGAAAGGTTCTTTTGGGAACCCAGAGTTGTTCTTTATGGCCTAATGGTTCAAAACTGACCTTTATGTTTAGGAGTGTAATATGCTCTTTCTCAGAACTGGATATATATCTATCAGGCTGTTCTTTAAAGGTGAAGCGTATACTGTAAATGTGTCCCATTTTAATATGCAGACAACTGTATGTAAGCCATTCACAGTTTGACTTTTCAAAAAAACAAACAAAAAAATCTAACACTATGGCTCTGTGAACATTGTTCTATTTGCTTAAGCAGATTTGATTCAACCAATGAATTTCAGGTGCGACTGCCTGGTGTGCTGTTAGTTTTCTAGATAACCAGATTCTTGATTTTCTCTCGGCAAGTGATAAAATGAGTGAAAAACCAGAGCCGTATCTCTTTCGACTTGGGCCAGTAAGCAACAACCTAGCAGCCACCCAGGACTCCCTAGCAACCACATAACATTGTGTTTAAAGGAATAGTTCATCCAAAAAAAAAAACTGTTTCTTCATTTAACCAGATTTGGAGAAATTTAACATTACATCACTTGCTCAGCAAAGGATCAATTAACGTCATGTGAAGTGAAAAGCTGCATGTTTGTAAGAAACAAATCCATCATTAAGGCATTTTAACTGCGAACCATTGCTTCTGGTCAAAATATGAGTCAAGTAATCCACAATAAAACGTATTTTTTGAATTAACTATTCCTTTAAGTAATTCAGAACACCTCTAGAGGCACATAAATGACACACTTCAGCTTTGAAACACAAGATAATAG